CTGATAAGGGTGGTGTGCTGGATAGCTTTAGTGTCAACTTGACACACCTGGGTTGAGGGAGCCTCAATCGGGGAATTGCCTCTATTGGACTGGCCTGTGGGTCTGAAGGGCATCTTCTTGATGAGTGATGTGGGAGGGCCCAGTTCACTGTGGGTGGTGCCACCCCTGGGCAGGTGGGCCTGTGTTGCATAAGAAAGCAGGCCGAGCAGGAACCAAGGGAGCAAGCCTGTAAGCGCGTTCCTCCATGGCCTGTGCTCCAGCTCCTGCCTCCAGGTTCCTGCCCTGAGTTCCTACCTTGGGCTCCCTGATGAACTGCGTGCGACCTGGGAGATGTAATACAAATAAACCCTTTCCTCCCCAAGTTGGTACTGGTCAGACTGTTTTGTCACAGCAATGAAGGAACAAACTAAGACAGAAATTGGTACCAGGAGTGGGGTTGTAAGACAAATAAACCCTTTCCTCCCCAAGTTGGTACTGGTCAGAGTGTTTTGTCACAGCAATGAAGAAACAAACTAAGACAGAAATTGGTACCAGGAGTGGGGTTGTAAGACAAATAAACCCTTTCCTCCCCAAGTTGGTACTGGTCAGAGTGTTTTGTCACAGCAATGAAGAAACAAACTAAGACAGAAATTGGTACCAGGAGTGGGGTTGTAAGACAAATAAACCCTTTCCTCCCCAAGTTGGTACTGGTCAGAGTGTTTTGTCACAGCAATGAAGAAACAAACTAAGACAGAAATTGGTACCAGGAGTGGGGTTGTAAGACAAATAAACCCTTTCCTCCCCAAGTTGGTACTGGTCAGAGTGTTTTGTCACAGCAATGAAGAAACAAACTAAGACAGAAATTGGTACCAGGAGTGGGGTTGTAAGACAAATAAACCCTTTCCTCCCCAAGTTGGTACTGGTCAGAGTGTTTTGTCACAGCAATGAAGAAACAAACTAAGACAGAAATTGGTACCAGGAGTGGGGTTGTAAGACAAATAAACCCTTTCCTCCCCAAGTTGGTACTGGTCAGAGTGTTTTGTCACAGCAATGAAGAAACAAACTAAGACAGAAATTGGTACCAGGAGTGGGGTTGTAAGACAAATAAACCCTTTCCTCCCCAAGTTGGTACTGGTCAGAGTGTTTTGTCACAGCAATGAAGAAACAAACTAAGACAGAAATTGGTACCAGGAGTGGGGTTGTAAGACAAATAAACCCTTTCCTCCCCAAGTTGGTACTGGTCAGAGTGTTTTGTCACAGCAATGAAGAAACAAACTAAGACAGAAATTGGTACCAGGAGTGGGGTTGTAAGACAAATAAACCCTTTCCTCCCCAAGTTGGTACTGGTCAGAGTGTTTTGTCACAGCAATGAAGAAACAAACTAAGACAGAAATTGGTACCAGGAGTGGGGTTGTAAGACAAATAAACCCTTTCCTCCCCAAGTTGGTACTGGTCAGAGTGTTTTGTCACAGCAATGAAGAAACAAACTAAGACAGAAATTGGTACCAGGAGTGGGGTTGTAAGACAAATAAACCCTTTCCTCCCCAAGTTGGTACTGGTCAGAGTGTTTTGTCACAGCAATGAAGAAACAAACTAAGACAGAAATTGGTACCAGGAGTGGGGTTGTAAGACAAATAAACCCTTTCCTCCCCAAGTTGGTACTGGTCAGAGTGTTTTGTCACAGCAATGAAGAAACAAACTAAGACAGAAATTGGTACCAGGAGTGGGGTTGTAAGACAAATAAACCCTTTCCTCCCCAAGTTGGTACTGGTCAGAGTGTTTTGTCACAGCAATGAAGAAACAAACTAAGACAGAAATTGGTACCAGGAGTGGGGTTGTAAGACAAATAAACCCTTTCCTCCCCAAGTTGGTACTGGTCAGAGTGTTTTGTCACAGCAATGAAGAAACAAACTAAGACAGAAATTGGTACCAGGAGTGGGGTTGTAAGACAAATAAACCCTTTCCTCCCCAAGTTGGTACTGGTCAGACTGTTTTGTCACAGCAATGAAGAAACAAACTAAGACAGGTGGATCCTAGCTTTTACTTCCCCAATTCATGATGGAGATTGTATTTGAATAAAAAAATGAGTGAAGCTTGGAGAGCTGTTCCATGAGATATCTGAAGGAACATGTGGTTCTCAGAATTCGGGTCCACTCTTGGCCTTAAAACTAATGCGAAGAATCAGGCTGCTTCTTTATTCAGGTATAACTGTAATGTGGTCTACAATGCTGCAGAGGTCAGAGGACACCTTCTGGGAGTCACCTCTGTCCTTCTATCATTGATTCCTGGGAACTGAACTCAGGTAGTCAGGCTTGGTAGGTACCTTTACCTGCTGAGCCATCTTGCTAGCCAATATGGTGTTTCTTAATTATATCCTTAGGGTACTTAGAAAAAGTATTTAAATGTATTACTGTTATCTCTTGTAAACTCTGTGAGATATATTTATTATTATGATAGCAAAATATGCCATACTGACAAAGAGTATGGCACTGAAGAGCTTCTGAAAAATACACATTCTTGGCTCAAACTAACTGAAACAGAAACTTAGGGTTGGAGCTTAGAAGCATTTTAACAAATTCTTTCAGTGATTCTGAAATATCACTAAAATTCTCTACACTATATGGCTATTATATTAAAGCCCATAGCAATGTATGGTATTTGTAGGGATGCTCTTTTTTTTTTTTTTTTTTTTTTTGGGCTTTTTGCTACTCTAACAGTCGAATGGACTGTAACATACACTCACTCAAAAGAATATTCTTAGCTCAAAGACCAGGCCATTCTTCTCTAGGTTTGCCAGTCACTATAAAAGCTATATTGTGGCTAAAATCAGTTTCTTTAAAAAAAAAAATGTAAACATGGGAGATCTTTCCATCTTCTTGTGTCTTCCTCAATCTCCTTCAAAGATTTAAAGTTTTCACTGAAGAGGTCTTTAATCTTTTTGGTTAGGTTTATCCCTAGATTTTTTTTTTTAAGGCTACTGTGAGTGGAAGTGTTTCCCTGAACTCTTTCTGATTGCTTGTTATTTGTTTATAGAAATACTACTGGTTTTTGTAGATTGATTTTTGTAACCAGGCCATACTTCAGACACATGACTTGGAGCAATGGAGCTGGAACTGATCTGGAAGCCTCTTCCTTGAAGACTAGCTCTCATGGTATCAGAGGATACTAAGGTGCCAAGGGAGAAAATCAATCAGTGGTCTTACCCAGCTGTGATGCCTAATAAACACAACGACTGGCCCAGTAAACTATTGATGTAGTAGTGTCATTTTTTTTTCAGTCTTTTTGAGACATGGTCTCCCTATAGTCTCAGCTGACCTGGAACTCAGTATGTAGACCAGGCTGGCCTCGAACTCACAGAGATCTGCCTGCCTCTGGTGTGTGCCACCTTAGTAGTGGTATTTTTGTCTTGGGGGTAATCAACAGCTGTCTAATTGGAACTAAGGCTCACTCAGTGGGAGGAACTCGTGATATTGTAAACATAGTCAAATACACACAGTTGGAGAGGTCATAGATCCCAAAGGAAAACCTACTTTTGCCATATCCCAAGATCAACATAATTTCTTACTGTATTCTAAATATGCCTCCTCTTACTTACAGACAGGCGTACTTCTCAGCACTCATCAAAGAAGGTTCTTTCTGCAACAGATGGAGACTAACAGAGGTCCACAGCTGGTCAAATGAAAAGCCCCAAGTGGCACATCTTCAATGTAACCTCTACGTATAAGATGAATTTATCTCTCAACTCTCATCGAAGTTTCCTTATGCAGCAGATGGAGATTAACACAGAAACCCACAACTGGCCAATGTGCAGAAAATAAGAAGCTGCACACTGCTTTTGAATAGGACAACTATTTCAAACTTCTACCTCTCAAGGCTCAGAGATCATAGTGGAAGAGTGGGCAGAAAGGTTGTAAGAGTCAGAAGTGGTGAATGACCACAAGTTAACAGAATTTTCCAGTGGGTCAGCTACACATATGAAGTCACAGCAATGGTGACAGCATGCACCGGTCCCATGCAAGCTCAAACCAGAAAAAAAAAAAAAAAAAAAAAAATTGAGGAAATAGATAAGAAGCTCCAACCACACCCAAGGAAATTGTGGCAAAATATGGATGGTGGGAGGGACAGAGGTAGTCTGTTTCAAACATGGGACACTTGGTAGGCTCCAGTGGATGGACCAACACTGAAGGATATTTGGAGATACAATTTAGACTCTATAGGCCTTATTATATATACAAATAGAGTACATTAAATTGGTCAGGGGCCAATAAG